AAGTCAAGGAGTTAGGAGCAATATTGTATAGTTGGATAAGGTAGCTTAAGGTTGGAGATCGAGTTTGGAACAAGGAAGAAGAAACGCATTTTGGCTCGCCTCTCGCTAAGATAATGCTCGAGCGAGAAAAACAGAATGCTTCTCGCTCGTCATCGCTACCGCTTCGCTCGAGCGACGGAATTATCCGGCCAACCCTAGTTCGCGATTTTGGAAAGTTTTACATGGCCTATAATACCTAAACATCCCTAACTATAAATACCCAAGCCTTGCAAGATTTCCTGGTTGGTTCTTTGTGCCTCTACTTCGTATCATATTCATAACATCCTTTGGTAAACCAAGACCCTGCTCATACATTGATTCAACCTTTTGATTCTTGAGAATGAAGCTATTAGTAGATCTCATCAATCACTTAATGAAGAAACTCCAGGAAGCACTGCTTCTATTACATTGAAGTATTATATGCCATCCTATCAAGTCATAGGGTGCTCACTCGAGAAATGCAGCGGGACTGGTGGTTGGAAAGGCTGCTACAAGCAATTCAATTTTATGTGCTCTCCTGCAGACAGCAAACAGAATGATGGGAATGAAAAAAGTGTGCTGATGGAAGCAGCACTGGTCATAAGAGTAGTACAAATTATGTATAATCGCATGAAAAAACTCCAAATGTAAGGGTTGGTATCTTTATATAAGATTCTAGAACATTCATTGAATATTTCAGTTATTAGTCTGATTGACGAGATTGATTATCTGAAGATACACGTATACCATAACATACTAGAGATGTTTCCTTTTCTTCATAGGGAGATGTGTCTATTCACTGGCCAGATGCAGCTGTTCTTGCTATAGCTTCTCTTGAGAAGGCAGGACACGATGCCCTTTCCTCAGATTATCAGAAGTATAATAAAAAATGTGACAATTAACATTCAATCTTAAGGTTAGGCCATTGCCGACTTTCTTTTCACAAGTCTGCGGACATCTGTATAGAAATATGAAATATGTTAAAAATTTCTGCAATTCTTGCGCAACAAGATTGCAATTGTACTTCTTTGGTCTCAGTAAGTTGCAATGCTTTAATCTAACCCTATCTGTAGTATAAATCTATTTTCCATTCTCTCTTAAATTTTTCTTCTACATATTTTTACCTGAACTGTAATTTTTCTTTTCAAATTCACTATTTCTTGCCAGAACAATTCTGCAGTAGCACAACGTTTTCTGATTGGGGAATAGGAGCCTGCACAGATATTGAATATCTCACCAAATGAATTAAAGGTCGAGTCTGTTGTGAGATCTTACTATGAGTAGATCTCTTGAGCAATGCTTACTATTTTCTCCTTTCTGTTTTCGTTTTCCCTTCTGTGTTTTGTTTTGGGCATTGTGCACTCGACGCTTGTACCCATATCAACTCGACAAATAAAACTGCCCTCAAAGTTGAGTTCTATTGTAGAAATTTTAGCCTCAAACATGTGTGATTTTCAGGTTGATGGTACAAGGCTTTGTTAAGTAGACATGATTAATTTATTACTATCCTTTGTCAAGACTTTTTGTTCTATAAAATCTCCAACCTGTTAGTTATTATTGCTGTAGCTTATTTTTTAACTTTAGCTTAAAAACAGAAGTATTTCTCCACTCTAGAGAGTGGGTTCGGATTTTCATGTGGGTATATGGATTTCTGTTGGCCGGTAATCCTGCTTAGCTCCATGAACTATGCTAAGGAAGTGCTGTTGATTTGGTCCTTAATTCGCTTAACTGACATGTTCTAAGAGCTTGAACCAAGTGAAAGTGACATAGACATATGGTTCTGTTCAGTGTCTACTGTAAAGAATTGCTACCAGTTGACTATTCACTTGATGCAATTGGAGCTGCCCTAAACGCTCATAGTTTTAACTCCCATCACTGGCCAATTTTTTTCAGGAGGGTCTAACCGCAGAGGAAATAGCTACCAAGAAGCCTGTGGAGTTTGGGCACATGCAGGTTATTCAGTGTTCTATGATTGTCTAGACATTTTTTGCTTACTATAACATTAAAAAAAGATTATTTTATGAATCTCTGTAACCCTTGACCTTTCTTTTTCTTTTTTTGGCTATTGATTGAATATGCAGGAGACGCTATAACAATCTTGATCATGTGGTGTTGTTCCAGGTGGAGTGCATCACTTGTGCTAACACCTGGTATGCTTCAAGGGACGAGGCTTCTGCACTAACGATAGAAGAGCCAAATTCGGCAAGGATTGTAGGCACTGCACCATTAGCTACTGCAAAGTTTAAAGATGTTGAGAAGAGGCTGTTGAGTCCCTGGGTCTCGAGAAGGGAGCCGGTGACATCTTAAAGAAAACAGAAGCACGCGTTCCTGTACTGGACAATCAAAACTCAATCAACAAAATAACGGCCGATGATAATCTAGCCCTTACTGTCGCAGAGTGAATGCTAGTATACTCTGGGTAAGGAGATATTTTACAATGTAAAGTCATTATAGGTCCCTTTTGGCAAAGCTTATGCTTTTGCTTCTTGTGGAAGAGTTTCATGAGAAAGCTACTTTAGATCAACTTTCTTTAAAAGTTATTTTAGTCAAACAAAACACTTACAGAAAATTATTCAAACATGTTCAAAATAAGTATCATAGTCTTAAATTCAGCTTTTGACTTTTTAAGCCCTGCTAAACGGGTCCATCATTTGGTAGAGAAGGCTTAAATGAAATGCTTTGGCAACTATAAAAAGTCATTCAGGTTGTCATCATATTGGATTCTTTTCTTTTTGGATCTTTTAACTCTCATACAATGAGCATGGGGATGCTTATTCATTTTCTGGTAATTGGTTATTAGTCTTGTTTTTATTTAGGGAAAGCATTGAGAAGACAGGTAATTTATCGACTATGCAATAACGATAAGGATTGAAAGGATTAGGTGGTTTTTATTTGTTAAGGGGAAGGATTTTGTCTTTTCCTAGTTGAGTTCCTTAATTACAGAAAATGGAGAATTGAATTCATACACTTCAAAAATTAATTGCTAGAAAATAATAATCAAAGATAAAAATGAAATGCGACTTTGTCGGTTAACCTCAATCAAACATTCAAGAAAAAAAGTGTGGGATAGCCGAGCCATTCTTCTTTCCTTAGTAGCAGTATTTGGTTTAATATAAATTCCGTCCTTCTGGTATTTCTTGTATGATATAGCATCTATCAAAAAGTTTTGTACTTTGGAAGAAGTTTGTACAGTTTCAAAGGATGATGATATTATAGCAAAATATTGATTGCAGAGAAGAAAATTGGCCACATTAAAATTATGTTCTTAGGGAATTTGTTTGATATCCAAAAACTGCTAAACATGTTCAAAAGGTCTAAAGCAGAATAACATGATGCCTTTAACTTCTCTTTTTTCAAGTTTGATTTAAAAGACGTAATTCTTATATATGAAAAGGCATTTTCCGTCAAACATATTTTAAAATATTTCATCATGTGTCACATCCATATTTCACCACGCTAATTCCAATTTTTAACAATTTGTTAAACATCTCACTTTTGTTCTCTACTTACAATTTTCCCGAATTTGATCCGAGAAAATAAATAAACTACAAGGATAAATATATATGTACAAATTATGGTTGACAAAATACTTCACTACCTCTCACATAATGTGTGGATCCCGCATATATTTCAAAAATGGCGGCTTGTGATCTCCACATCTATTGTGAATAGTGAGTAGATAATTGTGTAAAAAAATTTTGTACATATAGCATTGTCCAAACTACAATTATCTACTTGAAAAGCAAAATAATCTTCTATATGAATTGGTCAAAACCAACCTTTTGAACCAATTTTCCACATATATAATCGATTGCAATCGCTAAGTTTGAGCCACATTATTTCAAAAAATACATTTTTAAACATTAATTTGATATCATTTTAACCACACATTATTCAATAAAATAATATTACACACAAATAAAAAACATTTCCTTATTTTCTAACCACACATTTTCTATCAATACACTATTCAAAAATATATTCTTATAAAAATAATGCGGTTCAAACAAGGGCCTATTTACAATTAACTGTTACGAACTATAAAATTAATAATCTCAATGGATGAAAATTCAGCCTGTCCCACTTAATGCACAGTAGAGTAGGTACTATTAAAGAGAATTATAACTCCTCTACACATGTTTAATTATACGCTTGGGTAGTTTTTCATATGTTTGCCTTCTCAATTTTAGAATGCCTTGATTAGGGATGTGGATGAGAAGTTATTTTATAATTTCTATAGCAATTCAAAAGATCGTCTCACACAATACGAGAATCAATTATATATAGAAGAAAAACGAAAATAAATACCCTCTCGACATCCAGTTTAAATACTATAATTCATATTTTAATTCGATTATGATATTTTCAAGTCTTGATAAGTAGCTATAATTGCTTGACATGGGAAGTGATTTCATCTGGGCAAGATTGTGCTTGAAGAAGCTCCAATCGCGTGAAAGGTGACGCAAACTGCAGGATGTAGTCTTCATCTACAGCCACACAATGGGATTCGAATCAATGACTTTAAACACACATCATGTTGAGTAAATGAACAAAATTGAAGACGATAAAATAAAGCCAGTTGTAACTAATCGAATTGAATGTTCTTACTCTCTTTAACTGTCCCATAAAGCCAGCACAACACCTCATCAGCAAATGCTAGGCACACTCCTCCCTGCCAGAATCCCAACACAGGTGGCACGATTCGTACGAGAAATATACTACAAATCAAATACGAAAGGAGAAGAGAACAATGAAAATATGCAGACATCAATTTACCTGCCAATAATTTTTCATCTTTACTCTGTGTGTTATATCTTTGGTTCTTAGTCTTTCAGTACGGACGAGTCGGCCAGCATCATCCCTGCATCAAGAAAATGTCAACAAATATGAATATCTATGGAGACATGAGGAAAGGGGAAGTGAAAAGGTTTTGTTTATTAGGTTGCAGAAATTATAGTCATCCATACAGGATACAGAAAAAAGGATTCAGTTAGAAATTAAAAAGCATATAATAATACCTGAAACCAATGACAACATATGGTACACCAGCAAGGAATGATTGAATCTGCATCAGCAAAGATAGCAATGATTCCGATACAAAGAAAGTCAAGATGCACGTTTGACTATCTAAATGCCAATCAACAGATAAAACTTAAGAAGTTAACAAGCTTTAACTCAAAGCTGTTGTGGGCTTCCCCAAGTGAACCGAAGCATTGAGTTCCAAAATAATGGCATATCACAAGAATATGTTGTAAAATAAGCAAAATTTCGGGAATGTAATAGACAGTAACAGTAAATGAATGTTTTCATACTCAAAAGCAAGCTTCTAAAGTCACAATAACAAAATTTACTTGATCCTCTATATACATGATATTGAACTTCCATTCAGCTATAGTCACTCTCTCGAATAAAGAAACAAATTATAGATAGTGTTAGACCCAAACAGTGAAGTAGCGGAACAATCAGAACACCAAATGGACAATAACTAGAAATTTAGGGTGGACTCACATCACCAAAATGTTAAAAAAACCAAGTCATTCAAAAACAAGCTAAATTTCCTGCTAGAACTAACTTATCGATGGCAAAGATTATGGAGGAGATTTATATTTCTATAATTAGTGTATATACACGTTATAGTTACTTACCTAAATATTGTAAATTACTAGAAATTAGCCAATAATTTGTAATGAAATTCCTATTTAATGGAAAGAATCCTCATGAAGAGGTCATTTCAGCCTTTCACATAAAGATTGACATGGTATCAGAGCTTACCTTTCAAATCCATAGCAAATCTTCGAGTTCCTTCAGTTCTACTTCTGCTTTTCATGCAACAGGAGTTTTCTCACATTTGATTTCATTTTGGGTTGATCAATTTCTGTTCAACTACTTCGATTTGAGATTCAGGGTCAACCAATTTTTTTTTTTGGTCGACATATGTCTACCAATTTCTGGTCGATGAGTTCGTGTTGTTCTTTTGGTCAACAGCTTCACATCTTCAATTGGAAGGAAGGAAACAATTCTGATCCAGTGCCTACTTCTGTGGCTCCTCGACGATCTTCCCGCACTATTCATCCTCCTAATAGGTATGGTTTTTCTGCTACTTTGGCTGATATCACAATTCCTACATCTTATTCTCAGGCTACTAAGCAGGAATGTTGGAAGAAGGCTATGCAAGAAGAAATTCAGACTCTTCAGGAGAATCATACTTGGGATATTGTCCCCAGTCCTACTGGTGTTAAGCCAATTGGTAGTAAATGGGTATATTCTATTAAGAGTCCGTTTGGTGTACATTTTTTAGATGAAAATGCATTTCAAACATCATATCGCCGGTCCCCCATTAGAGTGTAGAAGTCAAAAATTGTGTGCTGATGTGACGGAAAAAATGCATTTTTGGCTCCAAAAATGCGTACCAAACAGGGGCTAAACTACAATCTGATAGCTGACTTGATAGATATAAAGCACGGTTGGTTGCACTCGTTAATCGGCCGGAGTATGGGGTGGATTATGCGGAAACATTTGCTTGATTTGAGAAGTTCCGCTCTACACTTCTTAGCTTCTCCTTCGTCCAGAGTCAGTAAAATTCATCTTCATTTCTTTGCAAGGCTACTCGTACAATTATCTTACTTTTAGTGTATGTTGATAATATTGTTATTACAGGGATTGACTGTAGATTGGGTCCTTTATAGTCTTTCTTAGGCTTTGAGGTGAATTCTACCTCAGCTCGTACTTTCTTACACCAACAAAAGTACACTCAAGAGTTAATTGCTTTAGCTGGGCTTCAAGATGGTCGCTTTGTCGATACCTCCTTGGAAGTGAATGTTAAGTATTGTCGTGATGAGATGATTCTCTCTAATCCCTCTTTGTATAGATAGCTAGTGGGAAGCCTGAATTATCTGACTATTGATTGACATGATATTTCCCTTGTTCAACAAGTTAGTCAGTTTATGCCAGCACCTAATCATCTTCATCCGGCAACTGTTTGTTACATTGTTCGCTATTTGCAAGGTACTTCCTCCCGTGGTCTTTTCTTTCCTGTGGGCTCTCCTATTCATTTGGTGGCATATAGTGATGCTGATTGGGTTGGTTGTCCTGATACTCGTCATTCCATTACTAGTTGGTACATGTTTCTTGGTAACTCCATCGTTTCTTGGAAAAGTAAGAAGCAAGATTATGAAAATCCCCCACTAAGTCCGAGTATCGTGCTATGTCCTCTGCTTGTTTGGCTACGGGGATTGTAGGCTGAGCTTAGGTTTCCTCAAGTTGAATCTACTTCGCTCTATACTGATAATAATAGTGCTATTCAAATTGCTGCAAATCCAGTATTTCATGAAGCACATTGAAGCAGTTTGACACTCTATTCGTGAAGCATATGATAGTCGAGTCATCTCTATTTCACATCACTATCGATCTTCAGATTGCTGATATGTTTACTAAGGCTCTTTCTTGACACCGACATCAATCTCTTGTTGACAAATTGATGCTTGTTGATCACCCAGCATCAATTTGAGGGGGATGTCAATGGAAAAAATTATGGACGAGATTTATATTTCTATAATTAGTGCATACACATGTTATAATTACTTACCTAAAATAAATTAATATATAAATTGTAAATTACTAGAATTAGCCAATGATTTGTAATGCAATTCCTATTTAATGGAAAGGATCCTCATGAAGAGGTCATTTCAGCCTTTCACATAAAGATTGACATAACTGATCAGGGCATATATTATAATAGTACATACAAGGCCAGCCGAAGACTGTGTGTAGACCTAAACTA